TAAGTTTATTTTATTTGTTTTTCATTGTATATATACATAAATTTCTTTTTTAGTTTTGATAATTATACATCGAATATTGTTGTTGATAATGTTAAAGTTTCATTGGGTTTATGGGATACAGCTGGTCAAGAAGATTATGATCGACTTCGACCATTATCATATCCACAAACGGATGTATTCGTACTTTGTTTTAGTGTTATAAGTCCAACATCATATACAAATATAACAAATAAATGGATGCCAGAAATTCGACATCATTGTCCAGATACACCAATTATATTATGTGGTAAATTTAAAAGAATTATATTTTTTTCTTGAAAATATTTTTTTGTTGTTTGTATTTAAAAGGAACAAAAATTGATCTACGTGAAGATCGTGATTTTGTTAATCAATTACAAAAACAAAATATTCAAACAATTAAACGTGAACAAGGACAACGTTTATGTAAAAAAATTCGTGCTTTTAAATACGTTGAATGTTCAGCATTAACACAAAAAGGTCTTAAACAGGTTTGTTAAATTCAATTATTAAATTTAGCTTTTTGTTCATTTCATTATTTTTAAAAGGTATTTGATGATGCTGTTCGAAGTGTATTATCACCTAAAACAAATAAAGCATCAAAATCATCATGTGTTTTTCTTTAAAAGAAAATTACATAAATCTCATATTGTTGATCTCATTTGTAAATAACAATATTGTTCATGCGTGCTTACATGGCAATCAAAATATAAGCTATAATAGGAAACTAAAACTAAACTGATATTCTCATGTACAATCTTTTTTTGTTTTTCTGTCACAGTGCATTGTTTGTCTTATATTCTCTCTTGTTTTGTTTTCTTTTTCGTCTTCCATTTTTGTGTACGAGTAACGAAATAAGTTTATTATCTCTTCTACTTCTCATTTATTCTTATTCATATTGTATTTAGTACGCATGTGTTTGCGTTCAGGTTTTTTTTACAAAGACAGAAAAAAGCAAATAAAAACAATTGAATTTAATAAATTTTTGTTTAGATTTAATTAACTAAAAAACAGGAAAATGCCTGTAAAAGAAATATTCTATAGTGAACCATATAAAGATGATATGTATGAATATCGACATGTAATTTTACCACCAGAACAAGCACAATTAGTACCAAGAACACATCTATTAACAGAAACTGAATGGCGAAATTTAGGTAAGAATATTTATAGAAATAAAAAAAGCAATCTAGAAGAAATTATATTTTATAGGATTACAAATGTCAGCTGGATGGGTTCATTTTATGCTTCATAATCCAGGTTAGTAATCATTGCGAATTGATTGATATTATGAATAATTCTTATATATATGTCATTTGATTTTTAGAGCCACATGTTTTAATCTTTCGTCGACCATTAAAATCAAGTTGAATACAAAAATATCTCTTGTTTTGCTCATCAATTGTGATTTTGTGTGATGTTTTTTCAATTTCATTCCTATTATTTAATTGTATATTATGATATTTGTCAGTTAAAAACTATTGATTGTATTTTTCATATGAAAACTAAGTTTTTGTAGTAAAAAATTGAAGAATGAAAACAAAGAAAATATCTATATAGTAACATATATATTCATTTAACAAAGGAAATAGAATATTTGCCATTTCTTGTAAATTATTGTGCAGATTTCATTACACAATATGATGGTAATTATTATTCAAACCATTGAACAAGAATAACTATCAACAAATCATGTAATTTATTATGATAGAGAATATAGATAAGTTTATCAATAACAAGATTATCTATTTGTAAATCCTGTATTCTAATTATCCAAGTATTTATCTTTTCTAATCTATAGAATAAACTAAATCATTTGATTTTGTTTAAAACCATAATATTCAATAATGATTTACGTATTTCTATTAGATTAATTTAGAATACATGTTCTCAAACTAGATATTTTTGTTCATTTACATTTCGTCTATGTTAAACATAAGCAACAAATAATTTGAACTTTCCTATTATGTCATTTTCACTTATACGTCAACAGCAAAAGTTTAAATTCGAATTGATTAAAAGAAGTGTTTTATATGCATTGCTATCGTTTTGTTTTAATACACTAAGTAAATTTCTGTGTTCGTTTTGTCGCCAACAAACAGTTTCATGGTTACTTAAACCATATTTACATATGTGAAAATGCTATGAATCTAGCTAATAGATTCAATAATATTGTAATTAAATTTGTCACTTATATTGAAGAATCATAAATAAAACATCAAAAGTTTTTTTCTCTCTCTCTTCGTGTTCATTTGATAACGTTCGTACCATTACTTTTCTTTTATTTAACAACGATTATAAAATCATCTTATCATATGTCTCTGATTTTATCGTGTTAAAACTAAAGAAAAGGTTGTAAATACGTTTCTTTTTGTCAGACCAAGCTAAATATAAAATTTCCTTTAATTGAACAATATTTAGACTCATTTGGTGAATATTTACTGGTATATTTCGAAATATAATTATGAGTTTACTTATAGATATCCATTCAACTGATGTAACATATTTTTAAGGTGCGAAGCATCTTATATTGATATTATTAGAGAGTTTTCTTTTTTAACATGATGCGAAACAAAGCATTTATGTAATCCTTCGCGAATTTTCTTTCTTCATTGTTCTTTCAACATATGATAATTTGAATTCTCGATTTCGGTGATATAACTTTGACTTTATTCTACTATGATCGTGAATGTTGAGAATTTTGTGAACACCTCAAAGTTGTTATTTCGAAATCGAGCTTTGCATCGCATGTCATAGAAGACTCTCGACTTGTCTCGATGACATCTAGTTGTTGACTCTATCCGCCTAATAAAATATTTAATACTGGTTTTCACGGTTTGAATAGGAAAATTTACTTCAAATAAATGAATTTGCATATTTGAAATCTCACAGAAATATTTAAAATATAAAAATTCATCAGATATTCTCTACCTCTAACAAATATCCATATTATAAGAATTAAGATTAGAATATCTAAAAGAAATAAAAGTCCAACAAGTGTTGAATCTGTTGTCGTTTATTCGGTCATTTATGAATGAATTTAATAGTACTTAAATAGATAAGTGACAATCATATAACAGGAATACTATTAGCACTTTAAAAAAGGCAAAGTAACTTTGAATATTCAAGAGTGTTATAAAACAATAGTGAATCATCTCATCAATATACAATATCATGCTAGAGATAAACTAGATGTAAGAGAACAAAATTATATTATGAGTACATAACGTGACAAAGTTGAGAGAAAACTTAAAAAAATAAAAATCGAATGGAAACAAAAGAATTTTTACAGTAAATATCCGATTATCCGTTTACTTTACATGTTATAAATTTTAAACTCATTTGTCCTAGAGTTGTAGAAATATATTCCATCTGTATACATGATGCACAATCGAACTCTTTTATATATGTCTATTATCAAAAGTGATAATACAACGTATGTTCTTAGATTCTTTTAATCATTTTAACAATGTCAATGTCGAGCTAGATAACATACATCTATTGTATTTATTGTAAATTTCTTTTACTTTTTTCTTTCTAATCAAATATATCACATAATTCTTATAAATTTCACAGTACATTCATACAGATTTTCTAGAAAAATAATGCATAAAGAATAGATATTTATTGAAACAATAATATTGCCATACTTTGATAAAAAAAACAAACATAATGTTTTCTTTTTCTCAAATCATATTAATCCATCGTTTATGATAAAAAAGCTGATCATGATAAATATCGTCATCACACACGTCATGTGGATGTAGGTGTGCGTGTGGATAATACTCTTCCCTTCGTGCACACTCACGTTCATCCTAGAAAGTCATAATTGTGACCATTTGAAGATCTATCATTTGTACAAGTCCTATATTATTATCTTTAGTTAATAGAGCTACATTTGATAGATAACATATTTATCGTACAACTAACAACTGCAGCAGTATAAACTTATTGTTGCTATGTGAATCATTCTTTAAATACGTGAATGTGCGAGACTCCTATCTATATCTTGATTCCAATCGGTCTACTTCAAAAGAAAAAATGAATCAGTCAAGTCTATTCTTATTATCACTTAGTTTTTTTTATATCTTCAAAAGGAATAATTTATACATATATATGTATATATAACATGGATTTTGCTCAGTCTCAATTTGAAGCTGCTTTAGCTTCCAAACGTCCACTAGCAAAACAAAGCTTAACAAGTTTAATTGATTCTGTTGATCGATCTAAGTTGCCAACAATATATCGTTCGTTATTCTATCGATTAAATAATCATTTATTTAATTTATCATTTCATAATCAACATGTAGATACATTTCTTTCGGCAAAACAGTTATCATTTAATTTACATGAACATTTTATAAATGAATTTAATTCATTACAATCTACAACAATTAAACAATTACAACAAATTTTAAAGTCTTCGACAGCAACAACCATTAACACAAAATGAACTTAATCAATGGAGACGTTCTCAACAAGGTTAACTATATGATGATTTTATTCTACATTGTTTATTTAATAATTCACCTCCATTAGCTTTATCACATGATCAAAATTTACTTGGTGATATATTTCATGTTGTTTTACACAAACATGTGTACAAAATTTAGCTGAGCAAGATTATGCAACATCAATAAAAATTTTATTTAGTGTCGGTATAGCTCCATTAGCCATTATACAATGTATTATGTCAATAACTGTTTATCATCATTTAAGAATATATTGCAGACAATGTTTGACTAATCTTAGAAAAGAATTTTATTTAACCAATTACGAAATGCAAAAATTAAATTTTTTAAATCAGTTGAATATTGGAATAGAATATTTCCCATTGCACCATTAATAAAAAAAAATTTCTTGTGAAGATAGTGGACCAAATACTCAACAATCATTTTAAATAATATCATCATCAAAAAAAGAATTAGTTTTGATTGGATATATACAACTATCAATGAAAAAGACAGAGATGTAAAAAAACAATGTTTGTTAATTACAGAAGATCGACATTTAATTGGTGAACAACTTTTATTTTCGTTAAAAGGTATTGTCATATCGGCATTAGTTAATTAGGAAAAGAGAATTGTATTATCTGTTTAATGTTTACATTATTTTCATTTAGATGATGAATTACGATCAAAATTTGTATCAGCGTGATTATATGCCTCCTCTCACCGATCATTAACTTTACTATAACAGTCAAATTCTATTGAACAAATTGAAACTTTAGAATTAATATGATCGTTTATTCGATTAATTTCATTGGATTCCTTCAAACTGATCACATACATTTTTTTGGCATAGTATTATTCAAGATGAAACAAATGATTCTTTGATGTTAAATCAAAGTAAGCTTTATCAAGTCCATCCAGCATATATATTTATTCTTCTATTAATAATGAAAATATAGATATTGATAGTGATGAACAATGGTGTCAATGGTTACGTTTTCAACCTTGTGAATATGTAATACAAAATTCTTTTGATAATACACTTTCACTTGATCCATTAGTTCGTATGGTTCATCAAGGAATAAATAGTTGTAATGATGAAAATGATAAAAATTTAGTTCTGAAATATCCAGCATTAAGGTTATTATGAAAATATTCAAAAATAAATTCATTTGATATAAGTATTTATCATTCACTTGATCATTATAGTCAATTAGATATATCGCATGATATTTTACATGACAAGAAGAAAATATGTTTCTTGCTAAAGAAGATTTAACTACTTTACATAATTGGTTTTCATCATTAAATAATGATCAAAAACAAAATCAACAAAATTTATTAACATTAATTGATCGAAGAATTAATCGTTTAAAACATTTTTTTGATTATATTATGTGAAACAAATTTAAAAACTTATTTATTATCAATTAATTTTATTTAATCTTTTTCTGAAACATATTCATTGAAATATCGACATTATTAACATATTATGCTAATCGTTGGTATTGATTTGAAATGTTATTTATTGCACAATTATTTCATTATAATGCAGATGACATTATATCATGTTTATCATTAACACAACAACAAAATATGTTATTTGAACATTTAAAATGTTGTTTCAAACGTTTAGTTAAACAAGATATTTTTACTTTATTAACTGATCAAACATTAACATCAGAACAACTTAAATTAAGATTTCAACAAAGTAAATCATTTGAATTCATAGATGACTTCAGATTAAATCAAACTAAACTCTTATATTTCAAACTTATTTATATTATCTTCGATAAATATATATACCTTATTCATTTATTTAGGTGCACTACAATGCTCTCGTCCATTATTAGCCGTTCTTTATAGTACACTTCCACAAGTATCATCAATCGATGCATTTGTTTTATTTCTTCAATCATTGAATCATAAATATCCGCATCTATTTCCATTTACATCAAATTTTGCTAATTGAGCTAGTCGTTTATTATGTTATACAGCTGGACTTGGTCTTACAACACATATATTTGCACCTGAAAGTCGATTAGAATCATTAGTACGTTTTTGCCATGCATGTATTGATATGAATGAACAACCTATGCCAACATTTTTAGCTTCAACACAAGCATGTATTGGTCGTGGACAATCATCAATATGGTTTACACAATTAACAACAGAATTACTTTTGTGTCTTTCGACAAGTATCATCACATACAGTTATATGTTCAATTTTTCATTTACTTGATGTATAAAATGAATCTTATCGTCGTTTTGAACCATTATTTACTTTACCTTATTAATTGAACAACTAGTAAAACATGATCGATTTTTGATTTAGTTGATGAAATGGACATGACATTATTTCAATGTTTTGAATGTTCATTTGATGAATAACAACATGATTTAGATACAGATGATAGAGAATTAAATGAAGCATTTGATACAATACGTCAAGGACATCAAGATGTATTAAAACGTTTAAAATAGCCATTGCTTTATCGAGATTTTCTTTTATCAATATGTTCAACATCATCAAAATTAATTCATTTATTATTAATTATATCTTCGAGTGAAGCACAACATTTACCTGTATCATATGATTATTCTTCTTCTTCTATTCAAATACTTCAACAAAAACCAATTATGGATAAATTTGATAGACCAATTGTGAATAAAATACTTGATTATGTAGTTAATTTATTTTCTAAATCCGTATTAGATCAATTAGCAGTTAAAACATTAATATTAATCGATTTTGATGATTATTTACGTGTATTTGATGACAATGAAATAGAGGTAGTTCAAGAAAATATAAAAAATCAACAGTTGTTGCTGAAAATGCATTTGAAGCACTTCTTTTAAGAAAAAGGTCTTTAACATAGATAAACTTCTATCAACATCAGATATAATTTCAACAGGTATAATTTATATTGAATATAAATAATTTAAAACAACAGAATTTTTGTTTTTTTAAGATAAAAGTTCGCTGACACTATCAAATCGTCGTCACAATTACCATCTTTCGGTCTAGCATTAAGTCGTCGTTCATCAGTATCTTTGACAAATTCACATGCAACAAATTTATGTCATTTATCTGATAAAGTTTTTCGTTCATATTTAACAACAATTCAAGATACATTTTTATCTCGGACGTCATCAGAACTTGCATTACAATCAGCAAGTGAATTTCGTTTAATACCTAATAATTTAGCTATTTTCTCTTATGAATATCGTTTATATTTAAATCTGTTAACACCATCTGATATTCGTACACGTCTTGATCAACTTCCACAAATAAATAATACGGGTAAATTTAATAAAAAAAACCTTTAACAAATGTTTTACGAACAATGACAATAACATGAGTGAATGATGAATGGAATTTATTAAAATGTATTCTTTCATATCCATCATCATCGTTTCAAACAAAAATTAAATTAGCAGAATATTTAGCTAAACAATTAAGAATATCAAATCAACAACTAGTAAAACTTTAGAACGTTGTCAAAAAAATGATCCAACTGATGATTATCATCATTGACCATTTGATCCAAATAATATCGAATCATATAGACAATTTATTTCATTTTTATATTGAAAAAAATTAATGATGCTATTGCAAAATAACTTGTTCGAAAATCACAAATATATAAAGAACCATTTCTTCAATTAGATTTACAATGTTTGTTTAAATTATATTTTCAAAAAACAAAACAAGAATTTTTTTTTAATGTTTATATTAATCAAATTTTATAACTATTGAAATTGTTGCCACGAGATACTTAAGTTTCTGATAAAGTTATATTGATACAGGTTTCTAATTATTTATTTTTTCTTAATAGATGTTTCATCACCATTACTTCGTCTTCGTATTGAATTACTAATTCGTGTTCACACATGTTTTATTAATTCATATCATATGGAAGGAATATGTTTCGTACTTGATCATGCTCGTCATATAACAATTTGACTTAATGATTTAAATGATTATACATTACTAATACATTTATTAATGGGTTTAAAACAATATTCAGAAATGATTTATGTATTTGATTTATTATTATCAGCAATAAGTAATATGCATGATGAACATACATTTACATCACTATCCATGAATTTAAATATGCATCATGAGCTAATTATAATATATCGTGATGCAGGAGAAAAATTAATAAAAAAACACTTCAATTTAATCAACAAACATCATTAGCTGATCTATCAGTTACATTACAAAGTTTACTTCGATATTATTCGGATGCAGCTAATATATTTTTTATTTAACTGGATGTTCTAATCAAAGTGAACAATATTTAAAACAAGCACGTCTTATATCATTACAACTTGAATTAATGCAAAAACAACCCATAATTATTATATTAAATTTAAATTCGAAACAAATCCATGAATTATTACCACGTTTTAAACATTGTAATATAACTTCAAATGCAATTAAATATTGAGTAGGATTTCAACAATTAATATTAACAATAGGAGAAACTTTGTTAAAAAAACATTTTAGCACAATATCAAGTAAAAATTTTCAAGAAATAATTTCATATATAACGGATTCAAATATTCTTAATCGTTTACAACAAATATTAACTACAAGTGATAATAATTATTCAAATTTATTTACATCTATTGATTCACCATATCTTCTTGATATAATTTGTGCTGCATGATAAAAAATTCTTTTTTTCTTCTTTTTGTGGTATATTTATTTTCATTTTCTTTTGTAATTTTTATATCGGTGATTTTCTTTTTTTTTGATTTAATCAGTAATATAACTGTTGAAAAAATTTGAGAGATTTCATATAACAAAATAGTATATATGTTGATTAAGTTTTTTTTTATCGGATAAATATAGGAGAATAAATTCATACTTTGATTGTATTGATTTAATGTATTTTGGCATTTTGTTTTGTTATTTGAATCATGAACAAACTATTCTGTTGTTTTGTTTACATTTTTATTACAAGGTAAATTGTCTGGGTTTTTCGAAAACTATATCATAAAAGAGAAGGTATATTCGATTTTGCGTCATAATAGTAAACATACTCTGTTCTTATTTTTTGAATAATGAGACGAAGGACAATGAGATAGTTTTTATAATATATTGTTTACTGTTATGAAGGTGGATATCTTATGATCATAAGCAACAGATAACAAAGTTAGCCTTGGTTATAAAACTGGAAATAAATTAAATCACATATTTGTATATGCCGCAAAAAAGACACGAGTGCATCCAAACTAAATGATAATTTAATGCAGCATTTATTTTCATTTCTAAATAAAAATTGTTTGATTATTAAAAATCACAATCATTAGTTGATTTTATTTATTCCAGATTTTCATTATTTTTAATCAAACAAACGAAATATTGATTAAACTTTTTGTTAAAAATAAGATTGTTCACAGTTTCTTACTTCGATAGTACAGCTGATGACAGATAATAAATCATCAGTGTTCTTTCAACATATCATAGTTTGAATGCTCGATTTCAACAATATAAATTTGATTTTATTCTACTATAATCGTGAATGTTGAGAATTTTATGAAAACCTCAAAGTCATTATTTCGAAATCGAGCTTCGCATCGCATTTTTCTAATTTAAGAAAAAAATATCACAAAAACTCTGTATTGCTATCGTCGGGTTGTTATTATTTTTTTAAATCGATTAATAGAACAGCTATTATGTGAAATAATAGATAGGTAAAAGATAAATATTTTAAATCAAAAAATACTTATTGTTTCTCATGCACATATAGTTCATTTTATTTTTTCTGCATAAAATAGTTTTATAAATTTAAATAGACAAGCCATCTCTAGTTAGTCATCATCACGTATCACTATCGTTATTCTCCTTTTTTGTTCTGTTCTGTTCTCTTTCTCTCTTCACAACGTGTGCGATTTTGTTTCATTCTTATTTACCATGAGCAGAGGCTGATGTCATGGTTGAATAAATATGATAAGTTTAATCCTTCTTTCTTTTCACATGATATCAAATACAACTACAAGCAATTATATCATTGTAAATTTGTTTTTAAATTTCATTTTATTGAAAAACAACTGTAAATAAGCTAAACCGATTTCAAACTTATTTTATTCAGCACATTTAGAAGAGAAATGTTCATAAACTTCAATTAAAATTATTTATTTAATTAGATGCATTTATATAAATCAGAATTAAACTAAACTGAGCTATTAATTTTATTTTATAGTGAAAATATATTGTGCACATCAAACTTATTATTCTTAATGTTTTGAATATATTATTTTTGAAAGAAGTAATGATTCATCGACAATGGCGTAGCCAGGAGGCAAGTGGGCAATTGCCCATCGTATTTGGAGATTTGCCCATTGAAATTTTACTTCTTCATACTTTTTCAAAATTATTAAGAGATTTCGAAAAACTTTGAACAAATTTTCGAAAAATTTTCAAAAAAAGTCGTTAAAAACTCACAAAAATCGTCGAAAATTTTTAAAATTTCGATAGTTTATAGAAGTTTCTGAGAACTTTTTGAAAAATTTTTCGACTGCCTCAAATATTTAACGATTCGCGACAGCCCTTTATGTTGAAATTATATACACAAATAAGTTCTCGTCAGTCTGACCTTGATGTTTGAGTTTGAAACAAATGTTATAAACAAAGTTAGTATGAGAGACTTAAAATACACTTAACTTGGGCTTAAGATCTGAGTCTAAGTTTAATGCATGTTTTTAATTATAAGACTCTCATTTCATTCTTTTTCCGCTTTTTATACGTTATCAGTACTTTACTCAGCTAAAACTTTTTGGCCCATCAATAAAAATCTTGACCATTTTGCCCATCGAATTTTTCGAGGTACTAGAAATTTGCCCATTGGTCTAAAACTCCTGGCTACGCCACTGTTCATCGATGAATGCATATCAGCATCCCCCACAATATTTTTCATTAAACTCTTATACCATATTTTCTAGTTTATAGTGCATTATACAATTTATTTCATGTTGTGTTATTTAGAGAAATAAAACAAATACTCTTATTTCTAACTAATGTTTTTTATTGAAAAAAGAAAAAAGAAAAAGACAGAAGAAAATGAAAAAAGGAGAAAGCGATAAATAAAATATGCGCGAGTAAATAAATGGTAAAATGATATCAATATTGAGAAAGAAAAAAAAAGCATGAAAAAGAAAAACAAAGAAAAATGGTAGACAAAAATTTTGCAACTAAATATATGATAAGAAATGTCAGTATTTTGTGTCTCGTATGCCACAACGTGCAACTTGTCCTTTCTATAAAAAAAACAAAGAAGCATTCAGTCGAATACTAGAAAATAAATAGAATAATAATTTGAAAGAAAATGTATAAAAAACAAAACATAATATTAAAACTATTCTTGCTTAAATAAATAAATAAATAATTTTAAAAAAACATACTTAAGAAGTGGTTTTTGGAAAATTCATTCGGATATGTGATTCACCTTATACAAATATTAAAAAGATGTACTAGTGACTAATAAATAACGTCAGATGAATAAGTCATCTGACGATTGTGCTCAACTATTTTATACAATTGGAAGGAATATTTGAACGAGCTAGGCGACTGATGAATATATGTGACTTATGAACTTTTTGCACAAATACTTGATACAATTATTTAATTCACGTTGCATAGAATTCTTACTCGACCAGCTGATGAATGAACAAACGACAAATGAATAAGTCATAGTAATATTCTGTTTTAGTATTTTACTTCGTTCGAAGAACAATTATTAGAACAGTTTAATATT